TTGTAGGTCTTGTCTACTGGTTACAAATTCCCTTAATTTCTGCTTGTCTGGGACTGTCTTAATTTGGCCCTCATTTTTGAAAGACAATTTTGCTGAATATATGATTCTTGGTTGGCATTTGTTTTCTTTCAGGACTTTGTATGTGTCATCCCATTGCCTTCTTGCCTGCATGGTTTCTGACGAGAAATCAGCGCTTAGTCTTATTGATGCCCTTTTGTAGGTGACATTTTGCTTTTAACGAGCTGCTCTCCAAATTCTTTGTCTTTGGTTTTGGAAAGTTTGATTATGATATGTGTTGGTGAATTTCTTTTGGGAGTCAATCCTATATGGGGATCGTTGAGCTTCTTGGATGGAGACGTTCTCATCTTTCATAAAATTTGGGAAGTTTTTTGCCCATAAGGCTTCAAAAAAAAATTTTTTCCCCCTCTCCTCGTCTGGAATTCCTATTATGTGTAAATTATTCCTCTTGATGGTGTCCCACATAACCCTTAGACTTTCTTCATTTTTCTTCAGTCTTTTTTCTGATTGTTCCTCAAACAAATTAATATCAGGGTATTTGTCCTCTATCTTGCTGATTGTTTCTTCCATTTATTCAATTCTACTTCTCTGTCTTTCCATTGAGTTATCTATTTCTGATACTTTATTATTAAGTTTCTGAATTCCTAGTTGTTGTTTTTGTATGGTTTCTATTTGTCTACTGAATTTATTTTGTTCTTGTATTGTTTTCTAGGTTTTTTCTTTCTTTCTATTTTCCTTTGTCTCTCTGAGGAGCCTAAATATTATTCTTAAATTCCTTTTCAGATAGTTCTATTATCAATTCTTCCTCAAGAAGGTTTTCTGTCCCTTTATTTTGCTTACTTATTTGAGCCATCTTACCCTGTTTTTTCATATGGTTTGTTATTGCCTGATGTCTCCAAGGCATTAAGGTGTTATTTTATTTATTTATAGGTGTGTATGTCTTCCCTTGCAGAATTGAGTGGAGGTACAAGAGAAGTCCCCTCCTTGATGTGAGGTGGCAATTGTTGGTTGGTTAGGTCCCTCCACAACTTTTATGGGAAGCGTGGTCCTTCTGCATTGGTGTTAGCAGTTAACGTGTCCACTGGAAAGAAGAACAGGTCATCTTTGTCACCACAGGACGGTGGTGCTATGCAAATAGATGGGGAAGGCCCTCTGTGCAGGCTTGAATTAGCATCTCAGTAGGTGGGGGGAGATCAGGGGTCTCAGGGCGGAGTGTAGGGAAATTGTACCTGCTAGTCTCTGGACAGGGAGGATGTTGAGAAAGCAATGCTGGGTAGTGAGCATACTTGCCTTCCCTTGGGTGGGGGTACATCTGCTTGTCACTAGGTGGGGGTGTAGGGAGCACTGCCACCAGTTACCCAGCGGTGGGTGCGGTGGGCGCTCCTGCTGATAGCACGGTGGGGTGGGGGTGGGATGCCTTCACCAGGTGGGGTCATTGGGGGTACTCCTGCAGTTCACTCAGCAGTGGGTCTGGTGGGCTCTCCCACTGGTCACCTGGTGGTACGCGGGCAGGCCAGGGGGGTGCTGCCAGTTCGCAGATATACAGCTTGGAGGCCACAACTGCAGTTGTGATCACAGGTGCGCAGCTTGGAGGCTACAACTGCGGGTGTGGGTATGCGACGCAGTGGAGGGGATGCCGCTGGTTCAGGAGCACACTGATCAGTGGGTGTGCCACCAATTTAGGGGCCCCCAGCACAAGGGGCAGGGCGAGGGCTGCCGCTGGTCCGTAGGCACATGGCTGGGAGGATGTGCCCCCGTTCTGTAAGCATGTGGGTCAGGGGAGGGGTTGCTGCTGGTCCATGGTTGCGAAGCTCAGTGGGTACACCACCAAGGCAGGGGTGGTGCTGCCAATCTGCAGTTGCATGGCTTGGAGGCTGCATACCTGGTCTGCTGGAAAGTTGTAATTCTTAGCAGTTACGTGGAGCCTGTGAAAGATTCAATCCAAAATAAGCTTGGATAGGTAGGTCGGGCCCAGACCAGGGAGGAACTTGAATGCCGATGTAAGGAATTCTGTACTTTATTTGGTCTGCTCAAGAAAGTTGAGGCAACACGATACAACTCAGAGCTAATGTATTAGGAGAATTTGACAGCAGAGTGTTGCATTAAATGGAAGAGGGAGAGCCCATGGGAGTACTCGTTAGGAGTCTATTGCAATAGGTTTGAGAAGAAGGATTTTCTCTTTTAAATCACCTAAAACTGGAACTTGTTTGGTTGAGTTCTGGGCCTTCTGATCCTAACTTGTAAATTTGAAAGCCCTCATACACAGATACTCTCCTTCATTCCCTGGGAAAATGAGCCACAGTTTCCTGGTAAAGAGCTGTCTGGGGTGCTAAACAATGGTCATGGTGTCTCCTTCTGTTCCTCACCACCTGTTTTTGCTTTCTGCTTCCTCCCTTCCTTCCTCTCTTCCTTTTTCTCTCTTTTCTGCTCCTAACAGGATCTACTCTCACCCTTTCTTTCAGCTTTACCTGCCCACTTCTAATCATGAAGCAGTTTAGCAGAGAAAATTATCAATATTTATTTGCACAACTTAAAGGAAGCTTGCTATAAGCTGTATGAGAAAAAATAAAATGAAACAACATTTTCATGAAGCATATATGGAGACATTAACGTGGGGACCATGTTAATGAACATTTTAATGAAAAACATGCTAATACAAAGTTTTTCCAAGTATATTTAATATAAAAGTAACCGGGGTGTACAGGAAACTCACTAAGAACATTCTTTCAAGCCTGTAACTTTCAGATTTCATGATAGTATCAACGTTCCCATCTGTGACTTGCCATTAAAGTCTTTTGTGCCAATATGATGTCTTGTGTTGATGTCCTAAATAGCAAACTTTTATAACCCTGATTCCACAACCTGTCTGTCAGTTTTCATACTGTGGTGGCTTGCGTGTTGCTGTGATGCTGAAAACTATGCCACTGCTATTTCAGATACCAGCAGGATTACCCATGGTGGACAGGTTTCAGCAGAGCTTTCAGACTAAGACACACTAGGAAGAAAGGCCTGGCAACCTACTTCTGAAAATAAGCCAGTGAAAACCTAATGGATTACAACCGGACAGTACACAACTCACTTGCTTTGATGACATCATTAGGAGGGATCAACTGCTGGGGCGGACATTGTGTTTGGTGAAGTAGAGGGCCAACGAGAGCAAGGGAGACCCTCGGTAAGGTGAATTAGAACAATGGTTGCAATGATGGACTTGAACATACCGGTGATTGTGAGGATAATGCAGGACCAGACAGTGCTTTGTTCTGTCATACATAAGTTCACCGTGAGTTGGAGTCGACTCAGTGGCAGCTAAGAACAATAACATGACCCTGATTTTGTGCCTTAAGTACTTGTATTATGAAATGGTCACCACATTCTTGAGATATATGGAACTGAAAGATTGTCACCTTTTCAAAGGTTCACAATGAAGCTTATGTAATTTATTCCTTCTACCAAACTGCTCTTTTAATCTAGGATTACATGGGAATTACATAGCATATTGATAAGGACATTTACTATAGCTATTTCCTTTAAGATTAGGTTTCCCAGTAATAACTATGCATATTATTTAGACTGTTAGTGGTAGTGTGGGTGTAACGATGAGCTATCCAAACTCAGAAGGAAGCCTATTTCTATAAAATAGAGTTTGTCAAGTTTTTTTTTTTTTTGGTCTTTGGTTTTGAGAGGGTGTCGGTAGGGCAGATAAGGGCAACAAGGGTGGGTAGGTTGGTGCTTTTGCTTTATTCAAGTGAGGCTGTTAAGGTTGTGATGAGGCTGAATATTAAAGATAACTGTGATCATTAGAGGAAGAGCGCAAGCGAGATTTGGAGTTGGGAGGTCTACTTTTCAATCTTAGTTGGGAAGATCAAATAAATTAACTTATGAGAAGATCCCTGTCCTCTGGATCATTACAAATGCTGAGCCCTGTAGGGACTTTAGAGGTGTGACTGTTCTTGTTTTTAGTAATAATACTTTAATTATATATGCAACTGATGGGGTTCGAACCGCCAACCTTTTGGTTTGCAGCTGAGTGCTTTAACCACTGCACCACCAAGTTTCCTCATGCAACTGATTGAAACTCTCCTTTTGTTATAAGTGTAGTTCAAGAGGTATAATGTTCTGAATAAATTACTTAAATCATAGTTTGTGAGACTTGGTTATAGCTGATATTCTGTAAATATAAATCAGTTGTAGTCCAGAAGTTTATGCTCAAGGTGGTGCTGTTCACCCATAAATTTGGTGAAGTTTTCGTTTTATCTCTGTGTTTCAAATCAAGCAAATAACTGGGTATATATCTGGGACCATCTTTGCCTTCTGTAGGTCTAGACCTTCTTACTTTCTGAGCACCCACCCAATGTCATATCATAGAAATGCACACTTATCCCACTATTTAATATAGCTGACCGTATTTTACACAAGGGACCTGCACCTTCTAAGTTTGCCAACTGTGCCCACCCTGCCCAGAGGTATTTTCCTTAGCGCTGCTATGCCAATTTTTTTTTTTTCTTACGTGTTGCTGTAAAATAAAATTAGCATAGTGTGCTTACGAAAATAGGGGTAGGGAGAGGGCACAGTTAGTAAACAAACATAGAAGGTGCTCATTATTTGTGTAAAAATACCGTATATGTTTGAGCTGAGTCATAGTAAGATAGTTGACCTGTTATATTTTCAAAGACATTTATTAATATACTACTTTAGATTTTGTAGCTTCGTTTTTGTATTTCGGAGTCAATTTGTTTCTAGGTCTCAAATATTTGAAGGGCTTATAAGGCCCTGGTTCCTAATGGAATAAAGGACCCAATATAGTTCTTCCCAGAGCTCATAGTTCAGGGGAAAATATTAATGTTCAATTTCATTTTTGCTAGGATTCTGTGTCAGGACCACCCTATTAATCCTTTTTCACTTCTTGTCAGAAACTAGATGTGCGTTTTATAGATGGAGTCATTCCATGCTTGATGTGAATTTTGTTTTGTTCTGTTTTTTAGATTCGGGGATTTCTGTCACGGTTTGATAACGTCCTTCCTGTCAGCCTAGCATTTGACAAATGTACAGCTTGTTCTTCCAAAGTAAGTCATTTTGCATTTGAGGAACTTTGGTTTGAAAAGCGAGCCCCTCAGCTTTTGATCTCTGCCTTACCAGCCAGAGGCATTGAAATGACAAGGGCTTTGTTGGGGGAGGGCTGGGGTCAAAACACCAGAAAAAGATATTCTTGTTTTCATTTATCTGTATTCATTCTCACGGAGAAAACAGACTGAGAAAATTTGGCTTCTGTTGTACAAAGACTGAATTAGATATTTTAGCACTGTATCAATAATTTGCATCACAGTAATTTTGGGTTGAACTTTACCTCCACTGGTCTTGTTCCTCCCTAGAAGGTTTCCCCCTCCCATAGACCATCATAGAGCACTTTTTAATCGGGGTGGGAGATACCCGGCAGTCTTGGCTGTGTATCTTTTGGAGATCTACATAATGACAAAGAAAAAATAAACAAGAGATTAGGGGCCTGGATGGGGCACCAATAAGAGGGACTCTTCAGCTTTGATCTTTCCAGGGGCTCTAAAAATAGAGTTGGTATGCTGTCCTTTGTAATGGGAAACGGCTGATGTATTTCAAGACTACAATGATGGCATTTTTTTTTTTTTTTAAATGGGCTTTGAGGTACTGTCTGTGTTATTTTTACATGTATACTATATGTTATAGCTGATTTCCTTTGGGGTGCCTCTTTAAGCCTTCTAATACCCGGTGTGATTTTTTTAACCTGAGCTTTTAAAACTCATGATTCTTGATAAGTAAAGATTTTCATGTTGAAGCACTGTGAAAATATCCCGTTGGCGTTATTAATCCCAAACTGTGGCCTCTCAGTTATCATTTGGGAATTCTTTGTAGTGTAGCCTACCTCTGGCTACAATTTGTGGAATTGAATTCTAGGGACATTCTCTCCACTCTTGAGTTGACAAGCATTCTCTGAGCAGTTTATTTGGGTTGTGTCTTATGAGAAACACAATCCTAACCAGTTTCTCCAAAAAGTTAACTCAGATTTGACAAACTGTGTTAAATTTGGTTAACTTTCGGTGCTCAAAAAATTAGATTAAAAAATTTTTTTTTCCTGTGAAACTGAACTAAGCCCCTGTTTTATCACTGTGCCTCCTAAGGGCCTCTGCTGAGATTTAAAGCTGACCATTTGTCAGTGTTACCCAGGAGCTAGCTCTTTCTGTAGTTTCTTTAAAGTGTCTTGTATCTGCTCAAAGCAGGGCCTCAAGGAGGTCTACGTGCATTTCTGTCTTCAGAAATACAAGTTGTAGAATTATATGCTCTAGTGGAGGACAATTTTTTTTGCTTTGACTGGCTGAGCTAATTGGTTTCAAAATAATTTGGCAGTATTAATTTTCATATTGAAATCGTTTGGCACAGATGCCAGAAGTTTTTCTATAGCTTTATGTAGGTCTCCCTAGTCAATGAAATCAAGATAATCGGGTCCTCTGAGTAAAATGCAAACACTCCTTTCTTATTCTATTTCTGATTAAATTAGCCCTGGAGATACTGTTTGTCAAAGAATCACAAGCATGCCAGTTGACCAGGCCCCTTATGTTCTTTAAAAGAGAATAGCTTTGCATTTTTCATGCACACTTACTGTAAGCATTAAATTAAATATAGGTGTCACTCTTTTGTTAACAAAATTATTTCCTCTTGGTGGTCATTTTAAGAGTCCTGTTTTACATAAACACGCTGGAGGGTTTAATACAAACTGACTTGGATTTAACAGCTGTGCTATTCCCGTAGCAATCACTTTTCATGTGGTCTGGGTATTAAATTTCTTTTGTGCTGAGAAGGTTGCTTCATTGGTGCACGTATTTCCTTACAGTAGAAACACAGCATTTACTTACTTGGCTAACTTCTTTATTCACTTAGGAGAGTGTCATTCTCTATTATTTGTAAACCTAACATTAATTCTTTGAAATGACAAATCCAATTACATTTTCTTCACTGTGCATGTGAATTTTCCTTAATGCATACTTAGCACAATATTTTTTATACTGGGTCATATCATAGTTGTCATTGTTTCAAAAAGATTCTTTTGGGCTGAAAATGACTTTTTAAAAATTCTCCTTTGACATTCATGAAGTAATTTTTTTCCTTTGGTAGTTTTCAGTATTTTTTGCTTTTTTTCTAGGACCAAGGCCATACTTGTGTCTTGATTTAACCACAAATACAGACAGAAAGATTAAGAGGTAGAATAAGCTCTACTGAGTAATAATACACTCATTCATTACCTTACTTATAATAAGTATAGACCTTTTATAGGGCCAGTGACGGGGAAGAATACGGTTCTTTGCTTCTGTGGCAGGGAAGGCCAAATCATCTATACACAAGTCATTTCTTACCCTGTTTTATCTTAACTTGAGATATAGCTAGAAGAAAGTTCCATCTTAACAAAACAAATATTGACAAATTGGGAGGGGACATGGGGGTGTTGCTTTCAATCCAATTTCTGCTTACTGTCTTACAAACCTTTCTAAAACGATCGTATTTACCACTGAGATTTTAAAAACTTTTATCAGCTATATGAGTTGTTCTTTACTTCTAAAATGGAATTTAGAGCAAGCTGGAGTATTGTGAGGAGTCCTTGGGTGGCACAGTTAAGTGCTTAACTACTAACCAAAAGATTAGTGGTTTGAACCCACCCAGAGGAGTCTTGGAAGAAAGGCCTGGTGATGTGCTTCTGAAAATGTCACAGCCTTGAAAACCCTATGGAGCAGTTCTACTCCGCATACATGGGGTCACCATGAGTCGAATTGACTTGATGGCAACTAGGGAAAAATAAAGGGAATAATAGAGTTGCTACCAGGGGAAATGTATAATTTTGAAACCAGTATCCTGAAAGAATTTCTCAATACCTTGGGTTAGTTTGTTATTGCCTTTTTTTTTTTTTTTTTTTTTTTTTTTTTTTTTTTTTTTGTGAGGATTAGGATTTGGGGGGATAACTTTTTATTTGATGTAATTTCAAGTACACAGAAAAGTTACAAGAATAATACCAGAAACTCTGTATATCTTATACCCAGATTCAACAGTTGTTTTCATTTTGCCCCATTTGTGTGTATGCCTGTTCTCTCCTCTCAATTTCAATCTCGCTCTCTCTCTCTGTGTATATATATACACACATATATATGCATATATGTATTAATTTTGTTCTTAACCATTTGAGAGTAAGTTGGAAACATTGTGCTCCTTCACCCTAAATATTTCAGTATATATTTCCTAAGAACAAGAACATTCCCTTTTCTAAACACAATGCACTTATCAAATCCAGGCAAATGTAATGCTGGTATAATACTGTTATCGAATCCACAGTCCACATTTCAAATGTTGTTATTTGCACCAATAATGGTTCTTTATAGGTTTTTTTCCCCCAGATCAGGATCCCTTTTAGGATCTAGCATTGCACTTAGTTGTTGTATTTCTTTGACTTCCCTCAATCTGGAAAGTTCCTTAGCCTTTCTTTATGTTTCTCCTTTTTTTTTCACTTTTCTCTTTTTTTTTAACTGTTGTACTTTAGGTGAAAGTTTACAATTCAAGTTAGTCTCTCATACAAAAATTTATACATACATTGTTATGTGACCCTAATTGCTCTCCCTATACTGTTACAGCACACTCCTCCTTTTCACCTGATTTCCCGTGTCCATTCAACCAGCTCCTGACCCTCTCTGCCTTCTCATCTCGCCTTCAGACAGGAACTGCCCATTTAGTCTCATATATCTACTTGAGCTAAGAAGCACACTCTTCACAAGTATCATTTTATGTCCCATAGTCCAGTCTGAAGAGTTGGCCTCAGGAATTGTTTTAGTTCTGGGTTGACAGAGTCCGGGGGCCATGCTTTCTGGGGTACCTCCAGTCTCAGACGATTAAGTCTGGTCTTTTTACTAGAATTTGAGTTCTGCACCCTATTTTTCTCCTGCACCATCATGGACTCTCTGTTGTGTTCCCTGTCAGGGCGGTCATTGGTGGTAGCTGGGCACCATCTAGTTCTAGTCTCAGGATGATGCAGCCTCTGGTTTATGTAGCCCTTTCTGTCTCTTGGGTTGATAACTTTCCTTGTGTCTTTGGTGTTCTTCATTCTCCTTTACTGCAGGTGGTTGGGACCAATTGATGCATCTTAGATGGCCGCTCACTAGCTTTTAAGATCCCAGACACCACTCACCAAAGTAGGATGCAGAACATTTTCTTGATAAACTTTGTTATGCCAGTTGACCTAGATATCCCCTGAAAGTATGGCCCCCAGACCCCCGCTCCTGCTACTCTCTCCCTCAAAGTGTTTGGTTGTATTTAGGAAACTTCTTAGCATTAGTTTAGTGCAGTTGTGCTGACTTCCACTGTAGTGTGTGCTGTCCCTTCCCTTCACCTAAGATAATTCTTGTTTACTATCTAGTTAGTGAATAACTCTGTCCCTCCCTCCCCACCCTCGTAACTATCAAAGAATGTTTTCTTCTGTGTTTAAACCTTTTCTTGGGTTCTTATAATAGTGGTCTTATAAAATGCTTGTCCTTCTGTGACTGACTAAATTCACTCAGGATAATGCCCTCCAGATTCCTCTATAAGATGTTTCATGGATTCATCATTGTTCTTAACCTTGAGATTTTGAAGTATACAGGCCAGTTATATTGTAGAATTTCCCTCGACTTGGATTTGGCTAATATTTCCTCATGATTAGATTCAAGTTATGAATTTTTGGCAGAAATACCAAAGTGATATTGTATCCTCGTGTCAGGAGTTCATAATATATTTTATCCTGTTTGGTGATGTGTTAATTTCCCCCTTTCCATATTTGTAACTACCTTTCCCAACAGCAAAAAATCTGGCTCCCTTTATCCTCCATATATTTACTCACTTGCTTGAGTCTAGAATACACAGAAAGTAGTCTCAAAATGGCTAGCCCATACTACTGCAGAAAGTAAACCTAGAAACTGGAGTTCTGTTTTTGTGTATAGTTGTTTTTCTAGGTAAAATTTAAATATAGTGAAATGCACGAATCTGAAAAGTTTTATTAGTTTTGACAAATGTATGCACCTAT